GTTGAATTCGTGAAATAAATTATTAGCAGCGTTAAATTGGTTTTAGTATTTAGATTTGTTTACCAGAAAAACAAAAAATTACCATTAGCTTCATAGAAATAAAAAGTATGTAATTTATTCCCATCAAAAGAGTAAATTTTTTGTTCCCTCAAAAAGTTCTTTAATCTGACTTAGGCATGAGATTAAACGGTTATTTGCGGTGTAAAAGTAGTGGAAAAAGGATTATAAGAGCGACCATTTCTCTTCATACTGCATATAAGACCTAATTAAATTTTATTGAAAAATATAATATGCAAAGCATAGCTTTAAACATTATCATTTTGTCTTTTTTAAAACCGGCTGAATTTCAAAAACATGAAATGTTTCTTTTTCATTAAAAAATGCAAAGGATAAAAATGTAAAGCAATACGACGTGAAAAACACTCAGTTCGTCCTTTACAAATTTGCAAATGTCACATCGATTCAATATTCATTTTTTATTCCGCAAACGTAGTAAATATGCTTTTTGTTTTTATCACAGAAAGTCTTCTGGATGCTTCGATGGTACCCTACACGATAACAGCTCGGCCATCCAGTAAACGAAATTGCGCGACGCAGATGCCAGTGAAGCCCTACCACGTGACGTGGGCTCCCATATTGCAGTCGCGGAATTGTGCCACTCAGACCCCACCCCCGCACAAGGAGAGTTCTGTCTAGTCTACCCCAACGACCCCAATCAACAGTCTCGGCACCGGGACCAATACCACCTGTGATATTTGTGAATATCTCATATTTTTAAGCATTGACATTATCAAAACTAAAACTGTTAACGCTGTTATTATTTCATTGTCAATAAAATATCATTACATGTGTATGTGAAGCGAATTTATGTTCTTAAACCTCTCATCGTGAACAAACGCACACATTTGGAATCAATGTAATTTTCATAAAAATAAAAATAATGACAACAAAAATTGACTGTTTCTATTGCAAGTAATCTCCAGTTTCGTTTACTAAACTCATCGTGATTCTACTCAGTGGCAAATCGATCATGTAGCTCAGTAATTACTAATTTAGCTCACTATGTAGTTAAGGGTCACTTTGAAAGCAAACACTACACGTTTCCAAAGGATCTGCTATTAGTTGCTTCATTTAGCTGGCACATCTAACTTATTGCCGGCTTTGCTTCCAATTTGCGGTTAATAACAATAAATTGAAATTAAAAAATAGTTTATTTGCGAATAAACAGAATTAAATTAGAGAGTACTAACAGAGCTCCATTTAAACGGAAATAATAGTCGAAGTTTAAATGCTGAGATATGAAGGATTCCTAAATCCAAACTACATTTATTAGAGTTCTAATTAATGACAGAGCTAAACAGTTAATGCCATATAAAACATTTACGTGCATGTAAATGCGGAATTAATTAGGTATTTTGTTCACATCTCTTGAAAGACCCGCGAAATTACATTTTTCAAATATTTTTTTTAACTAAACTTTGTCATTTGGTGATTTCAACCACACAACAATAAATTGAAAACATTCCCGAAGCTTCACACATCCGTTTTTGACATATTGTTTGTTAATATGCTTTGAGAATTTAACTGATAAATTGTAACAAAACAGTCATAACGTTTATTGCATGAGGTCAGCTATGAAAAATTTAAATCAATAAAACGAGATAAAACAGTATAAAGAGCATTTAATTGTTTGCAGAAATAATAAAACGGGAGCGTAAAATTGAAGATATATTGCCGATGAATTGGAATTTTTACAAATACAAAAAAAATTAAAGAAACATTGAAATGTTTAGATGTTTGTTTATTTTGCGCACTAATGTCGGAATAAACTTAAAATTTACATGTCTGTAATACTTAAATCCAGCATTAGTTTTGAGTCAGCCAAAAAAAGTACACAAACATACTTTTACGAACAATATTTTAGCCTTCCATCATCTTTATAATTCATATTTAATATAAATACTTACCGCATTTAAACTTGATTGTCTTTTTACATTTTAAAAATATAAAACATAAAAGTTACTGCACTAATAAAGTAATAAAAATAGTAAAAAAATATTCTCAAAGCATCTTAGTAGTAGTAGTAGTAGTAAGTAGACATAAAATATTATACTCGTATATAGTAAAAATCAGGAGGGTAGACCGGTGCGTCATCATTTCATTTTTTCATTACCAACTTAAAAGTGAAATACAAAATTCTATCACAATGTAAATTGAAACAATTAAAGGGTCTGTAAGGATGGTAGCCTTGAACATTAATTTACATATGTACTTCAACTACACCACTTAAATGTCATGTTCGAGTGAATTTGTCAATACATTGACAGTAACATTATTATCGTCATTGAAAGTCTTTTTGGTATAATTTGCATATTTTTCGTTTATTGGTTGATTTCTTGCTTTTGTTCTGCGTCTCATTGGTTTCTTTTAATAATTCATTACGATTAATTAACTTCCATGAAATCAGGCATAAATAGACTTGTGTTAGTGTAAAAAATTAAAATAATGAGGGGTCACCGATAAAAATTAGCCCCCCATCATCCTCTATTTATTCTACAAAAAATGGGGCCAATCTCATAAAAAAAAAACATTAAAATGCTGTTTTAGTACTTACTTACATATTGTGTCTGCTATGGTATGTACAAACCACACTCTGTAAATAAAACTGTGATTATTTGAGATATTTGAGGTAAATATGACCGTTGTTTAAGAAGCCTATTATTTAATAAAGTAATTAACAGTACAAACTGAAATCGACGCATTATTATGACTAAGGCTCGGATTATACCAGGTGAATAAAAAGTATGGAACCAAACGTTTTTTGCTTAAACTATTTATTTTTTGAAAAAACTAATTGATGAGTGATAAAGTACTATAAAAATGTGATGATTTAACAAGAATAAAATTTTTCGAAATTTTCTTTTGTTTTTGAGTTCTACAAAAAAAATAATTTTTTTAAATGGCAACCCACTATAAAATCATTTTTCTCATAAAAGCTATACTCTAAGGATTACAACTATCTGCTTTATATTTAATTTTGTCAAAAAAAAATTTTCACATAAATTGCAATTTTGACAAAAAAAATCGCGTAACTCAAAAACAAAACAAAATTTCGTTCTGAAAATATGATCACATTTTTTATATTACTCTAATTTTTATTAATTATTATTTTCTGAAGGCAAATGATCAAAAATAAAACCGCTTGGTTCCATACTTTATATTCACCCTGTATGTATGTACGAAAAAATCGTAAAATATGCGCATATATGTATATGCACGTATTTTCACAAAAATATGCACAAAATATTAAGAAATATGCTTCAATATATGCCAAATATGCATCGATATGCAAAATTTTGAACAATAAGAAGTCAAACGTATTTACTTTTTGAAAGAACTAATTGATGAATTATAAAGGTCTATAAAAATTGATGTTTTATCAAAAATAAAATTTTTCGAAATTTTTGTTATTTTATTTTTGAGTTTTACAAAAATATTTTTTTTAATAGCAACCTATAAAAAACATTTTTTCATGAAGGTTATGATCTAAGGGATTACAACTATCTACTTTGTATTAAATTATTTTTTTACATACAATATATCGCAATTTAGACAACAAAAATCGAATAACTCAAAAACAAAACAAAATTTTGTTCTTAAAATAAGATCGTTTTTTATATTCCTTTAATTTATATTAATTATTATTTTTTGGAAACAAATGATTTAAAAAAAACCGCTTAGTTCAATTCAATTTAAAAAGGAAACACTCAGCAGGGTACTAATTTTTACGAATTACCGGTTGTTTTCTCTTTAAAATATTTTGTAATCGGATCATTTTTCATAAACTGTCCAATTTTTAACTTGAACTAAAATTTTTTATCGGAAATTAGTGATTTGAAGAAAATATGCACGAATATGCAATACTCGTATTTCGTAAAATATGCACTAAGTTGCCAAAATATGCAAAATAGGCATTTTTATTTGGCTTATTTTAATTAAAAAACATTAGATATGCATAGAAAACTTCCAATTTTGTTGATATATCTCTTAATAACAAATATGCATTTTGCATATAATCCGAGCCTTAATTATGACTCTCAGATAAGTAACTTTCTAGTTTTCATAAAAGCTTCTTAACGATTATAGGTAGTATGTTTTCGAAGGACGTAAGATGTAATTTTGTTTTGTAGACGTCTTGAATTTCAAATTTTTCTCTTTTTCTTACCTGAAAGAATGCATAAGATCGTCTATATAGTTTTAAACTCTTAAAAAAACTCAATGTAAGAAATTACTTGTCCACGCATCTTATGTCTATGATGATTCCTATTTATGAAATACCGATTTTGCATCTGTTTTCTTCTCAACATACCCACTGTTGATTAAAAAATCGGTTTTATACTGATGTACACTAAAAATTCTTAATTTTAGATACTATAACATCCAAAAATATTGCAAAACATAATGATGTAATGAATACACTGCATGTAGAACGTCATTTCCAATCTATTATATTAAATTTTAAATGCCTTTGCAAAGAATCGTACAAAGCAACACTTTCATCATTAAACAACTTCTAACTCGTAGATATTGAACCTAAAAGCCAAAAGTTGTCGGCGCCGTTGTCTAAGCTACGCGCCAAAATTAGTAAAGGAGACATCTGGCACATCAACTGCAAACTATTCAAATGGGGAAAACATTGATGTTTTAGGCGGCTGATTTTCTCCTATATACTAATACCCAATACATGCAACGTTAAAGCTTGCTTTTTTAATATAAAAATGACTTACACTTGTAGTAAAAAAATATATACCTGCAATAAACTTTATAAATAGAAAAAATTTTTGTAAAAAATAATTGAATAGTAACGCAAAGAATAAAACAAATATCTAAATGTCCTTACTTGCTGTGATTTACCTGTTTTGTGCCTTTGTAAAGACAAATATTTATTTAAAAAATCAAATTCTCACAAATTCTAAGGTAGCTCACCAGACGGCGCCACATTGCGACTCATTTGCCGTTTTTGACGTTTACTGTCAATCAAAACAATTTTTTATTCAAAAAATGGGCATAACTAACGATGTCAATCTACCAACGGAAGAAGAATTAACCGTTCAAGAAGTAAACCTCTCGGGCCCTGTTTTGAAAGCCGCTGCGTTTCATTTAGGACGATCTTGCTTACATGAGAATAATGTGAGGTTATGGCTGTTACCTAATCAATCGGAAAACTAAAATATCTTCAATTTCAGGAATTTATGTTGTGTAGAAATGAATTAGGTGATCCTAGAAAATGTCTGGAAGAGGGCAAAGCGGTTACAAGCTGCGCGTTGAACTTTTTCCGTCAAGTGAAAAAAACTTGCGCTGGCGAATTTATGCAATATGTTAATTGTATTGACAAGTCGAGCCCCAATCAGCAATACAAACCGTAGGTTGCTATTTATGACACAAACGAGAGTCTTAAATGATGTTTTAGATGTCGCAAAACTCAAGCTGTTTTTGATAAATGCGCTAAAGACAACATGGGGATTGAAAGGCTTCCACATGACCATTACGCCAGGGTTCAGATCCATAAGACCACCAGACCCAGGCCTCCGGTTGAAGCTCCGGCTGTATATCCCGACGCCACTCCTTATCTGCCAGAAGATGCTGAAAAGCCCCCAGCGAAACATGGCTCTCGCTACATTTTCATGAATTAAAGCCACCGGTTTATAGTCACATTATTGTGGTAATTTAGAATGTTGTAGTGTCAGCCTGCACAGGTGTTGTAAATAAATTTATTAACAATTTGAGGTTTTATTGAAAAGTGAAAATGACACGAACTAAAAGCTTTTAAACTATTTGGGGGACGACTGCGCCTTCAGTTCTTCGTAAAATGCTGACAAGAGTATTTAAAAAAGTGTATAACCGCTATACCCACATTAATCCAATAAATGTGATCGAAATTACATAAGACAGGGCAATAAACATTCTGTACTCGCGGGAAATTTAGTCCCTTATTCGATTTACCGCGTGATAGAGGGTTAAATGGAAAGATAATTCGTTTTCAATATAATAATCTGGAACATGCGCCACCTTGTAGGCTTTGCTGTATATAAGCTGAACAAATTTTTACCACCACTAGTCTCACGTTGAACACGACAAAGTCAACACCATGCAACTTGCTTTTGCCAAAGTTTTAACCGTCTGCATTGTTGTCATAATCCTGGCAAGCTGGATAGAAATGACCGAGGCAACTTACAGAAAACCACCATTCAACGGATCAATTTTCGGAAAAAGAGGCGCAACTATTGGTAAATAAGTTGTTTTCAAAATTTTGCAACGAAAATTTTGTTTTTTTTTCAGAGTACGACAGTGCCAGCAAGGCACTTTCCGCAATGTGCGAAATCGCAAGTGAGGCCTGCCAGACTTGGTTTCCCACTCAAGAGAAATAAAAACTCTACTGGACGACACTCACGAGAAAATGGTACTCATCCTTTATATATCTTAATTTTCTAATGGCAAAAATGTAGTAAAGTAGTCAAATAAAAGCAAATGAAGAAACGTGTTTCAGTAGAAAAGTTTATTGGTCACAAATTAACTTACATGCTGTCTCCATAAGCATTAAATCAGAATAAAAATGTTCGTATAAACTGCACACTTGGTGGATTCCTACTCTACGTCTACAATGATCACAGTCTTTTTCGACTTCTTACAGAAGTAAATGCGTTTCATTATGATCACAGTAAAAAACTAAACAAAAACGCCAAAAAAACGAGTTTAATATTTATTGTGATACTCGTTTAGTGTAAGTATATAGGGAAGCAAAGTGATCAAAATTTGGACTTAAAATATCTACAGTTGGACTTAAAAATACTTATTAAAGTCTGCCACTCTCACGCAACCGCGTTATGTGTTGTTTTAAATGTTTTACGTAGTCGAACATCATACCGACAAATGCTGTGTCTCTGATATATTGCGGTATCCAACCGTTTAAATTTGTGTTGAGAACCCACTGGAAAATGCACTTGTTGCAATTGTTTGGGTCTTCTTGCATCACCCAACAACCAGCCCGATTTTCGCCCCTATTATCAAATTTTAAGTCAAAAGTAGACTTTTAAAAAAGCTCACCTAATGTATTTCTCATTTTTGGGCAAAGAAGGGTGTTCGGTCCCAATACAAGCAATAATATACCGATTTTCGATGTAACTCCAATGTCGCAAGTTTACAAAATCTCTGCTACTAACAACACCAGCAGCGCCGTCGGCAGCAATCTGATAACTTATATCAGTATGTTCGTCAATAACTTGCACTTTGTGGGACTCCAATAGAGCTGGATTCCATTGTGGGAGACTTTCTACACGATAAAATAATTCATCAAGTAAAAATTTTGGAGTAACATCCAAATACGCCTTAAAATTGTCAATTAATCACGATGGTCGATAAAAAAATAATACCAACAGTGAGTTTAAAGATTTTTCCTACTTTAGGCACAGTCATGGTATGTACCGAATCAGCCCCATTGGCTTTTTCCAACTTCCAATCTTTCTTATGTAACAAATCCCAAGCTTCTTGCATCGTTTTCGCAGCCAAAGTTTTGTAATTTTCTTCCTGGTTAAAAACAAATAAGGCAAAATCTAAACCAGTGTGCTACTTACTTGTTCCCTTGTCAGTGCTACTGGTGGGTACCTGCCCAACACCGGACCTGAATTAAACCCGTACATGGAGCCGTCAGGCGAGGCAAGAGGTGAATAAAAGTTCCCAACACTTTCAGTGTACATGGATGGCAATCCACGAACATAACTTTGAATTAATGGTGCCCTTTCTGAATCCGTATTAGCTGTAAATTTGCATTTTAACAAAACAATATCAATCACAGTCAAACTCCATATTTATGAGACTTACTAATGAGAAATCTCCGAGCATGTGACTCTTGGGGCAATACCCGGAAATCCAGGAACCATGCCTCACCCCATGATAGAACAAATGATATTAAAACTAAAAGCACCTCAAAAACAGGTTGTGTGGAGTGAGGCCACTGAAATACATCTTTGAGTTTGGTAAAACATTACCTTGAGTACTTACATCGTACAAAAAAACTTTGGCTATGAGAAATATACAAGTTAAAGTTGTTGATATCTGAAATTCAAATTTGTAAGATATTCTAAATAGAACTATGGATGGAATAAACTTACGGAAACTATGATCCAATGGTTCATATAAATGAGAGCATAAAATAATAATAAGACGACAAAACGGCAAAGAGCCGCTAGCACTACATCAAATAAAGAAGTTTGTACGTTGTAATGATAAATTTGTTCATTTAAAGCTTTCCTAATGTTTTCACCTTTCAACTAAAATTATTAATTTATTAAAACAATGTTTACACCTCTTACGATTAATTACCATTACACAAATTAGCCACATAAGTCCGGTAAACAATAAATCAAACGTAACAAACATACAGAAGAATCTTCTAACATTGGACATCCTGCCATTAGCTCGGTGTCCAGCCAACAAGTCTTCAGATATTATGTAGTCCGGATGCAGGGATGGTATTGTATTAATACTATGTGAATGAGCTAAATAAAAACATTGCTTGTAAATACGATTATACTAACAAAGTCTTAATTAATACAAAGTTTAATCTATTGTTTGTCTTTCATAAACAGAAAGAGATTAAAACTATGAGAATGTAAATACTACAGACTTATTTACTTACATATATCTAGTGTCGGTGACTGAATATTGTGACTATTGGACCGTATGAGGTTCTCAGCTGCTTGGCGAATTTCTTGATCCATTTTTTTGTGAAATAGTAGCAACAAACTGATCAAAATTTAAAACAACAAAGGGTAAGATAAATGATAAGAACCTATTTTACACACACGGAAATCACTGCATTTATCCACTAAGCTGACACAAGAAGCATTAATTTAATTATTTTCCAAAACAATAAACATTATTTACAAAAGACCTTCAGGTTTTTTACATTTCCAACTTTATTTTTCTGATATGAATAATTCGATAAATCGTGAAAAAATACTCCTTTTTTCTAGCGACTCGTAATCTTATTTACACCACAGAATTTTATGTAAGGATTTTTACAACATTATTGTTTATAGAATAAAAATAAAAATTTTCAAGACCATCACTCATCTGTCAGATGGCAATGACAGCAGCAGTGTAGCCAACCTTCGCTTTGACAGAGAATGTCAACCTTCAATATGAACGGGTAACCAACCTTAGGCATTCAAAACTACTTCTGAAAATTCTAGTTACAAACAACATGAAAAACGTAATTTTTTTAAAAGTGCAAATCCTAGGTGGTAATTTCTTGTTGATAAATCTATACACGTCTAGATGTTTACTTATTGTATTTATTCTACCCCCTCTTCCCCAACTCGTTTATCTTGACCTTGCACTTTTACTTTTGCAAGTTGCGAGCCTTGAGTGTCATTTCTGTCAAAGGTGTTTTGTTGAAGTACGCAATTATTTATTTTGTTAATTTACATTTAAATACGCAAAATTGTGGGCAAAAGCCAATGAGTGCGCGTCAATACGTTACTTGGATCGATTTTAGTGGTATCGGATAATAATCATTTGGAAAAATGGGGGATGTGACCCAGGGGGCGCAAGGCCAAATGAAGATCGGCCACTACATCCTTGGCCAGACCTTAGGTGTCGGAACATTCGGCAAAGTGAAAATCGGGGAACACCAAATCACGGGACACAAGGTAGCAGTCAAAATTTTAAATCGGCAAAAGATTAAGAGCTTGGATGTTGTGGGGAAGATCAGGAGGGAAATACAAAACTTGAAACTGTTTCGGCACCCGCATATTATTAAACTGTATCAGGTGATTAGTACGCCGACTGATATTTTTATGATTATGGAATACGTCTCTGGGGGCGAATTGTTTGATTATATTGTAAAACATGGGAAATTGCAAGAACATGAAGCGAGGAGGTTCTTCCAGCAGATTATTTCGGGAGTTGATTATTGCCATCGTCACATGATTGTTCACCGAGATTTAAAACCTGAAAACCTTCTCCTTGATCACAACATGCATGTAAAAATTGCCGATTTTGGTTTATCCAACATGATGATGGATGGCGAATTTCTGCGCACTAGTTGCGGTTCCCCGAATTACGCGGCACCTGAAGTCATCTCTGGCAAACTTTACGCCGGACCCGAAGTCGATATTTGGTCGTGTGGAGTCATTCTTTATGCCCTTCTTTGTGGCACTTTACCTTTTGATGATGAACACGTCCCCACACTCTTCAGAAAAATCAAATCAGGCATCTTTCCTATCCCTGAATACCTGAATAAATCAGTAGTCAACCTACTGTGCCAAATGTTACAAATCGATCCTATGAAACGAGCAACAATTGATGAAATTAAAAAGCACGAATGGTTCCAAAAAGACTGTCCTGCTTACTTATTCCCATCACCTGTAGAGCAAGACTCGTCAGTAATTGACACAGACGCTGTAGGTGAAGTTTGCGATAAGTTTGGGGTACAGGAGAAGGAAGTACACAATGCGCTTTTGAGTGGAGACCCCCACGATCAACTTGCGATCGCTTATCATCTTATTATTGATAACAGACGTATTGCGGACGAAGCGGCAAAGGCGGAAATTAAAGATTTTTACATCGCGGGGAGTCCCCCACCCGTTAGCATGAGTCCTAGTCCAAGTCCTTGCGATTTTGGTTCTAGCCCTTTGAAACCTCATCCGGAAAGAATTGCGCCGTTAAGGGACAGAATGGCGTCGAATCATGCAACTACCGGCGACAGAGGAAGAGGTGAGAGCTCCGAGGCGAAGCCGAGTAAAGCAATTGTAACTTTTTTTTTTTTTAATTTCAGTTAAAAGGGCTAAATGGCATTTGGGGATTAGATCACAAAGTAAACCTCATGATATTATGATGGAAGTTTATAGGGCTATGAAAGCTTTGGATTATGAGTGGAAAGTCATCAATCCTTACCATGTAAGAGTACGTCATAAGAATCCTTTGCATGAAAGATTCGTCATGATGTCCCTACAATTGTATCAGGTAATACAATAGAAAATTTAATAAAGATTATTGGAATATTTTAATTATTTTTTTTCTTAGGTGGATTACAAAAGTTACCTATTGGATTTTAAAAGTTTGGCCAACGAAGAAGCGGAGTCGAATACGGCAGCCCCTGTAATGGGGTCTCTGGCCACTCCAGTGCAGTCAGGCGATATCACTTTGAACGCAAAACCGAAAGGGCATTACACTATGGAATTTTTCGAAATGTGTGCCGCTTTAATTATACAATTGGCTCGTTAATTTAAGACAAATTTTATCCTACCTATTTTACGTTAAAAATTATGTAGTCTAATTACTAGATTTTTGTTTGATCTTAATTGCATAGTGAGTTTTTAAGTGAATTTACCAGTGATAAAAATAAAAAAGGTATTAGTCGCTTTTAAAAAGCCATTAATTGTGTAAACTGGTTAGTTGTGATGATATTTTTGTTGTTTAATTAAGTTGTAAAATAAACTGAGTTTTATTGGAATCAAGCTATTCTCTACAAACACCTAATATAATCTCTTGGTAGCCATATCTCTCTTATAATGTTCCTCCATAAGATTAGTCTTCTCCATCCTATCGGCGGCAATTTTCTGTATCTTTTCCAGTAAGTCAGGATATGGATGGATAGCTTTAATAAAATCCTTCCTGTCCAATCTGTACAATTCACACGTTTCCACAGCAATAACAGAAGCAACTCGTTGCGCCTCTGGAGTGACTAAAGCAATTTCGCCGAAGTGGTCCCCATCTTCTAAATGACAAACTTCTTTCCCTGAAACTGTGTAAACAGCCACAGTTCCAGTAGAGATGAAGTACATGCAGTTTCCGGTCGAATTTGCTTTCACAACAACATCATTAGTCAAATAAATCTCGGATCGCAAACAGGACACGATTCGTACCAGCAAATTCAGTGGAAGATCTCTGAAAAATTCAACGTTTTCCACCAACTGCCTACAAGTCTGCATTACGATTTCTTGTCGCAACTGGCCAGAAATCGTTGCGTAGATTTCATTCTCCCGAAAGTAGCTTTTTTGAAAATGGAACTCGTAATAAGTCAAAATTCTTTTTTGGGTGTACAATGGGAGCTGTTTATGACGCATAAATTCAACCAGTTGTTTTACCATTTGAGAGTACTTCATTTTAGGCGAAGTTTTAGCGCGCAAGAATTCAATAACGCGAGCTAAAATATTTCGTCAGTTTTTGGAAATGTTCATTTAAAAACAAACCTAGGAGGTAAATTTGGACAAATTTTGATAAAAACCATAACACTGTAGTCATTAAAAATTCGTTGTTGTTTTCTGGTTCTTCCACTCCGTATGATGCTGTATAAATTAAAAGAGCCCCGTCGTAGAGACTGCGAGAGATAGCTTTGAAAGCAGTTGTGTTCTTATAAGCGGCACTAGAAGTTGGTTATTAAACTTAAAAAACAAAAACATAAAATTCAGTTATACTAATTTTTCTTGTCATCGAAAAGATAATATCCGAAAATTTGGGTACAAGAAAGAGTGTGCCAAAAAATTAGCATTGTGAGCACCATAAGAACCCCATGTCGTACATAAAAATCAACTCCAAATATCTACAAGCTGATAAAAACCAAGATGAAATGAAAAATTATTAATTTACATTGCAAAGTTTCATTGCAAGATTATTGAGAGTGAAAAATCTCAAATATTTTATCGTCGATATTAATTGTAAAATCGCCAAATTCCAGTTTTTATAACCACCGGAATTATCCATAGGTATAAAAAGATCCCAGTGAGTTGGCACTGATGACAAAAAGTCCACAATAAATTGATTTTTCAAATAATGTCTACAACTCGAAAACTAATCTTTAAAAAATCTTAAATTATCGTAAATACAAAACTATCTTCTGATGATGAAGCACAACCTCTTTTTTTGCTTCATCATAATATCCCGTTATTGCATTAAACCCAATATCGGCGCAACAAATCAAATCCAGAGCCATTCGGAGTGTAAGAAAGGCAGTACTGTGAAGAAATGGCATGGTTTCTTCAAAAGCATAAAATCCAATATCTAATGGTACCAAAATTAACTGAAAGAGGCAAACACCGCACATGCATAACTCCCACCAAATCCTACGCAAAAATTAGGTTCAAACGTTTTTTGAAAACAAGCTATACCGAGCACTGCTGAAAGGGTGGATGCTTGTGGGGTGGTATCTAATATGTCTTTGTTTTTCTTTCTCGATTGCACCGTGACTTCGCAAGTGAATGGCACAAGATTTACAGATTTTTTCATGAACTAGGATACTTCTCATCACAGCTCTTTTAAATTGATTGCACCAAGTTTTCTGTGGGAACCTTTTCTCCACTTCGTCATCTTCGGCAAGCATTTCACAGTCGTGGCCCAAGTGGGCAAACTTGCCCATTGATTAAACAAACATTGGGACTATTTTAGTAACAAACTTACCACTTTGTTGTATTTGGGAGGTCCGGCAGTCATTTTTATTAAAAATTCTGTATTTTTCTGATACGCTATTTATTCTTTTAATGGTTTTTACTGTTTTGCTATGGTAATGCTCTCATTACGAATGTATAAGCCAACTTGAGTAATTGAATTTTAAACTCAGCGCCAAGTCAGGCTGGCAAAAACACCAACCACCAACACAACGAACATAAACTACCTGTTTGTGTGTTTGTTATCTTCTTCTTGTTATTGAAAGTGTTTTCAGAAATTTGCGTTGTTTTCTGAAAACAGTTGATAAGTGTTTGGGTTTGGTGTTTTTATGAGTTCTCATGTGCGGGTACAGGACTATTATCTGTCGTTAAACCAACCTAACCAAAATGACCGAGCCCCATTTAAAAATCTACACAGTTCTCGACAACAAAGTTTTTGAAGTTCCTTATAATGCCTCGACAACAGCTGAAGATGTCTGCATTCATGTTTGTAGACAGTTGGGAGTTTTACCTATAGCCCGACACCTATTTGGTCTGCGAGTCACAAACAAGCAAATTTTTCTACGCCCCTCGGCAGTTTTCAACGAAAAAAATACGCATTTTGAATTACGAATTCGGTTCAAAGTACCGAACTGTACCAAGTTGAGAAAAATTGATGAGAGGGCTTATGACTATTACTTTCATCAAGCTCGCAATGATGTTCTTGAAAATAAAATACCTGACATTGTTTATGAGAAGTATAGGCGGGAATTGATGGGTTTGGGGATTACTGATATGTATAGAGTGATGTTAGAGAAGGATATTCCAAGAGAGAGTGTTGAAAATGAGTATAAAAAATATATACCAAAAGAAGTGGTAAAAAGACACTCAATTTTTATCAAAAAACCTATACATGATACATTGGGGAAACTTCAAAAATCTGTGCATGATGCTAAATATGTTAAAGCTGAATATTTGAAGCAGCTTGATATCATAGCGCCAGAGTACCTTTCTGAAGTTTACAAAGCAGTGACTGATGAAGACGGTGTCGTTTGTGCCATCACCATCAAGGTTACTCCTTATCACCCAACTGAACCAGGGATTAAATTTTCATCAGAATCAAACAAAGACGTGGGTCAATAACACAAAAGTTTTGCATTTTTTAATAAAAACATTGCAGTGGCAACGCATTTGTACCATTGAAGAACTTGGTTTCATCTCAATTAGGGATGATGATGGTACTGTTGAAATCAGCAGAAAAAACGGAATCCCATTTTACTTAAAATTTAACTCAAATCAGTTAATGTTTTCTTTCATTAGTCTCTTAGATGGCTACTATCGACTGACTTGTAAATGGACTTTTAATATTTGTAAAGATGTTGTAACGCCTTCATTGCAAAAATTGTACGCCATGAAGTGCCACGGACCTGTTGGGTATGCAGTATTTTTAAGACGTTTTCATAAATAACAATTTTGTTACAGAGGGGAATTTTCTTATGCTAAATTAGAAGAAAAACGAAGCAACCGCCCAGGGTGTTTCATAATCAGGGAAAGTGCCGTTAAATATAGCGACTACTATATTGATGTTTGCATGAAAGACAAGTAAGAACTTATTACACAATTCGTTACTTACCAAGAAATCCATTTTACATTTTTTCACAAAATTTATTGTTTTTTTGCAATTAACTTCACTGAACTTCTGGTTAAAATTTTGTTCTACATACTCCTAATTTGTGATAATTTTAGTTTAAATCCACCAAAACCGAAAACTTTCAAATTGGAAAGAATAACCGGCGATGAATTTATTTTCAATGATGATTTAACAAGATACAAGAGTATTCAGCAACTTATGGCTGCTTACAATGATCCCAATGGCCCCATATTTTTACAAGAATGTTTGCCACCTTCCGAATACGGTAGTTAACTTATTTAAATTACTTATAATTTCTTTAATAATTAATTGTAGACGTTTCACCGTTACTTCTTTGTCAAAGCGATAATTTACCAGGAGACTCAGTAACAGATACCTCGGCTTTGAGGACGATTTTACCAACAGCCCCTTTGTGCATCAATTGCAAAGATCTCCAAGTTTTTAAGGGTAAGATAATTAGTTTGACATGACAAATGTCATATCTGCTTATGTTAAAACTGGTTTTTGTTATAATTTTTGCTTTTAACGTGACCGGAGATGATGAAGTTGGCAACTTTTCTGACCTGTCTATGTGTAAATTGAGCCACTTAGGTCTCGAATATCTTGGCGATATATCGAAAACGGAATCATGGGTTAGGTGTCAGTCTTGGTCTTCAGATCTTCCTCACCATATCCCTGAAGGGATTGTCGATGCGCAATTCCCTGAACAGTCACGAAAAAGAGCGAAAAACTTTTGTAGGAATCCCACAAAAGACCCTGATGGGCCTTGGTGCTACACTATGAATTTAGACCTGAAATATGAAACTTGCGGAATACCTTTATGTTCAGTGAAGGAATGTAGAATTACAGGGCCTGGAATGGAGTATTCCGGCAATATAAAAAGAGCTCTATCAGGTTTTTAACTGTTAACTTCAATTGGGACTCTTATTCGTGTTTTTAGACCGGAAATGTCTAAAGTGGAATAAAGATCGAGGTAAAGTGAAGGAAGCGACAGGATATAAACCCTACGATAAGTTCTCGAAGATACGTTTCCCAGAAGGTGAAGTTTCAAAAGCTAAGAAATTTTGCCGCAATCCTAATGGTGACATAGGGGGGCCGTGGTGTTTCGTCGAAAATGATGAGACTGATGAAATCGAGAAGGAATACTGCGATATTCCTTTTTGTGAAGTCCCAGATTGTGAGGTTTTCACTAGAAATACTCCAAATTATACTCACTGGACTGACTTTAATAATACTTTAACTGAATTCAGTTTTGGGGTGAAGTTGTGGGACTCAGATTCATACTCAAATGCCACTGCTAGGTTGGTAATATCGACACTGGCGTTACCCGTGACTGGAAAAGAAATGGCCGATTTGGGAATTGGACTTGAAATTTTCCTCTCAAATAAAGTTAGTGCTTTAACAATGGGAAACAAAGACACACCTGAATATGAACCAACTCCTGATATTTTAAAATCGACGAGTTATACGATGTTTACAGTATCCTGGACCGCACCGTTTATAACATTATCATACGAGGGTCAAATTAAGCCGATTTTCTTAGCCGAGTATAAAACTAAAAATAATCTGTTAGGATTTCGCAAAAATCGGTTCAATTTTTACTCCGCTCAAGGCACTAATGTGATTTGGTCGTTCCCTTTTTGTCGCGACGACTTCGAATGTGACGTTCAAACCACCACAGGAGCACAATTTCAACAGTTTTGGCCTTTGAGAACCAACGAAGTTGGACAAGAGTTACAATTCTATCTTCGAGCATTTCACTCAGCTTACATTCTTTTTGTTCCAAGTCCGGCAGTTGATTTTCCTAATGTAAAATTTCTGATACAGCGATCGAATGAAATGTCACGAATTGTGGTAAATTTTTGGGAAGATTCGAGTGTCATAATTAAGGAATTGTCTTTGCCTGAAATTTTGGACTATTGGGAATGGCGCGAATATTCCGTTGCTTTTTTCGCTGATACAATGCAATTTTATTGGACGAAAAGTGTAGGCACGCATATGATTTTTGAAATAAAACATGAAATCTTCCGGTCGCTGCGCTGGTTCTCTCCGAGTTCGGACACGATTGCGCATTGGACCTTCTTTTGTCTTCCTCCAGAAATATCAAAACCTCCTCCAGCTCTTCTACCCGAATGTGCATTAAACAATGACGAAGAAAATTATAAAGGGACTCAAGACGTAACTAGTGAAGGCATGCCGTGCCTGCCATGGGCAAGCAAATTGCTACCAAATCAAGATTTTGACAACAAAAGCGAAGCCCTAGTTGAGTGGAATTATTGTCGTGATCCTAAAAAAGATGAAAAAGGCACTTATTGTTACGCTTTTACTCTTGATAAATCCATTGAGAAAAATTATTGTCGTTTGAGGAAATGCAAGTCGGAGGAATGCAGAATGGCGGGAACCGGAAACGACTATGTTGGGCACTTGTCAAAAACGAGATCAAACCGTAATTGTGATTATTGGTTTGAGAATGTCACAGTTCACAGAGTTGAGTCACAATACGCAAATGAGACTTTATATGCGGATTTGTCTCTTGATGATGTTCAAAATTTTTGTCGAAACCCTTCGAGGGATGTTGGTGGAAGTTGGTGTTATACGAGTGATCCAGACGTTCAGAAAGATTTGTGTAATGTGAGAGATTGTGATAGACCTGAGGAAAACATAATGATCGTTGGTAAAGCGTTACAGGGGCGGAAAGTCTACATTTTACCACAGTGGAAAATAACGGGATTAGAATTTGGGTTAAAACAGTGGAATCCAGATTTAACAGATGCAGTCCAGTTCGATTTTTATCCCAAGAATTTGGATGATAAGATCGAGCTAATTTTGGGAGCGAAGGGTAACGAGAAGGTTTTACTTTTTCACAAGGCAAAGTTAATCAAAGAAAAGACTTTTTTACATTTGATTTCGTCAGGGAAATGGACGGACTTTTGGCTAGTTATGCGGAAAGGTGAAATTTCTTTAGGTTTTAAAGGAGTTCCAAACAGTTTCTTTGAATATCTGACTGACGAAGTCTTCGATCCTATGTTTTTGTCTTTTGGAACTGTTCATGGCAATCCGCTTGGTTTTTTTCTGAAAAGCGAGCAATGTCAAACCGAAAATGTTTCAATAAGTAGTTTTGCCAAAACTGTGCCTTTTGGTATTTGGTCGAGTGAAAAGACACTTCATCAGAATTTTAGTCTGGTAATTCGAGGCGAGGGTTTAGTCTCAATACCTCTGATGTCTCTACCAAACACTCTTAGCTCACATATGCTCCAAATTGATACTATGAAAAACGAGGTTTATCTCAGTTATTTGGGTGAGATTCTAAAAACACAGTCGTCACAATTTCCACTTTTAACCACTAAGAATTGGACGACACTCAATTTTAGTTTCAGCGAACAATATGTTAATGTGACTAAAGAGAACGAAACTGTTTTTACGTACTATAGCTTTAAACCCATGCTCTTCTATTGGTTTTCCTTGGGTATGGAAAAGGGTTGGGCGATTTGGAGTGCAAACTGCGACGCTTTGGACATTGACGGGCCTCCTAGGGATGGAGGGTGGTCGGCATGGTCGCCTTGGCACTGTACTGTGAAATGTGGGGGCGGCGAGGGATATCGTACTCGAAATTGTACAAATCCCAAACCAAACATTTTAGGAATGTTATGTCCCGGTTCTTATAAATCCACGGGAATTTGTAACGATTTTGTTTGTGGGGATGTCAGTCCTACCACTCTTGAAAAAATGAGAGAGAATTTGCAGACGCATCAGTTCAGTTTTGAAGTAAATGAGGGCAGATCGGTGGTTTTGGAAAACGACAGTGAAATGTTGAAAATAATCAGGCAAGAATCGCCGGATTCGTATTTTGAGTGGACATTGAATGGGATTTTTGTTGAGCCAGATGAGAATCGTGTAGTGTTTCAAGGGGATAATTTAGTCGTCAGAAATGTTGGCATTGATGATTCGGGGGTTTATGTTTGTATGTTGTATAGAATAAACAAAAAGAAGGAGGTTTTGAGGGTTATTTCGTTGGCAGTTGTTAGTGAGGATTATACGATTCAAACTCGAGCTACTAGATCGGTCGTATTGGTGTGCAAAGCAGTAGTTTTGGGTTACATTTATTCTGATTTGAGTCTAAAATTGTATTTGAATGGGGAAATTTATAAGGATTTTGGTACAACCATGTTGGCAGCGGTCAATTCCGAAGAATTTAAAGAATTAAATACGTCTCATACGGGAGATTGGAAATGTGTAGTCGAACAAAAAGATTTAAAACTTTCTTGGACAACTAATTACATAAGAATGGAAGTTAAAAAAGCTCCAAATTTTTACACAAATTTGATGGAGGATGAATTTAGTAAACCGTTTTTTGGTTGGTTAGGCACAGAAAATAATGTTTTTTACGCATTGATATTTATTGTTGTTTTTGTCATTCTTATGGTTTTGTTATTCTTGTTTTTATATTTCAAATATTGTACAGTAAAATCACGCTGGAATTAAATTTGCTTCAATAAAAAAATTGTGTTTTATTCTCAGGGCAAAGGAAAGATGGTTCCAGAGGGATTACAATGACTTACAGAAGTATGTGGAAAGTTACAAAAGGTAAAAAAATTGAAGTGACCATGAAAGTACTTAAACAGGAATCGTGTGACAAGTATTTGAAGGTAAAGTATATTACATCGCGCTAAGGAAAATATGATCATAAATTTTTAGGAGTTTCTTGAACTTGCTGGCCAATACGCATATCTTCACTCTGACGCAATTGTGCGTTTGTTTGGAATAACGTTATCGAGTAACGTTTCATTAATTTTGGAGTATTTTCGATTAGGTCCCTTGGACCAATACTTAAGAGAACATAAGGGAATATTGAAGAAAGTTGACTTAATTGAAGCAGCTAGTAATCTTGCTTCAGCACTTTGGCATCTGGTATGCTTTCTTGTTAATGTAACTGTATTTTTTGCTAATATTGATATTTCTGACTTCAGAAAGAAAATGGGATTGTTCATGGAAATATCAGATGTAGAAAATTAATGGTCAATTCACACGATGAAAATTCCTTCACTGTTAAACTGACCGATCCCGGAATTCATATTTCCTATGCATCCAAAGAGTAAGTAATTTTTATTTATTTTTTAACAAAAGGAACAGGATAGGTAACGTATTTTGCAAAAACTACACTAATAAGATGGGTTTTGTTTTTGTAATTTATCTTATATATTGTTTCGTTCTCAAATTATCAGGTTTTTTTGTGTATAGTTGGGTCTTTTGGATTCATTAAAAGGAATTATGCAGGGTAATAAAATCATTAGAAAAATTAAAACTTCTTAAAAAATTAAAGATTTATTGAGATGTTAAATAATACAAGAAGAAATCAGTCTTTACAATTAACAGAAATGTTACATAAAATCACATTACACATCACATTATTTCAATAGTGACTGCATTAAAGTAATACTAAAGAAAGGAGAAAAATCAGGATTCTTAAGAAATTAAAGTTAACAATTCCGAAGGAATGCTTAGTCAACTTCTTCGATCGTTGGTCCTCCTTGTCGTTGACCTCCAAAACCGCCGGCCTGTTGTCCACAACTTCCTCCAGTCCCTGGCATACCACCCTGGCCGCCTTGTTGATACAGTTTAGCCATAATGGGAGCACAGATGGACGATAATTGTTTCTGTCTATCTTCATATTCTTCCTTCTCGGCGAGAGTATTTGCATCCAACCATTGTAAACAGGTGTCGCATTCTTTTGTTACAGTTTGTCTGTCGGATTCGCTTAATTTGCTTCCTTGTTCAGAGATAGTCTGTTTTAACTGGAAGATGTAACCTTCTAGTTGATTCCTAGCGGCAATTCTCTGTCTCTGTTTCTCATCCTCTTCTTTGTATTGTTCAGCCTCTGAGACCATCCTGTCGATGTCTTTCTGGGACAGTCTGCCTTTGTCGTTTTTGATGGTAATATTGCGAGAATTGCCGGAGCTGGTATCTTTAGCGGAGACGTTGAGGATGCCATTGGCGTCAAGATCGAAAGTGACTTCAATTTTCGGGACTCCGCGGGGCGCTGGTGGAATGCCTGTCAGATCGAAGGTTCCCAGAAGGTTGTTATCTTTGGTCATTGCCCTCTCGCCTTCGAAGACCTGGATGGTGACGGCGGGTTGGTTATCGGAATAGGTGGTGAATGTCTGGGTTTGTTTGCAAGGAATTCTTGCGTTTCGCTCGATGATTTTCGTCATTACTCCTCCGGCGGTTTCAATACCCAGAGACAATGGTGTGACATCGACTAGAAGGACGTCTTGAATCTTTGAGTCGGTTTCTCCACTTAGGACAGCTGCCTGGACAGCTGCACCGTAGGCGACGGCCTCATCTGGGTTAATTGAGAGATTCAGTGATTTTCCGTTGAAATAGTTCTGGAGTAGTTGTTGAATTTTCGGGATTCGAGTCGAACCACCGACGAGGACGATGTCGTGAATCATTCCCTTGTCCATTTTGGCGTCTGTTAGGGCTTTTTCGACCGGTTGTAATGTTCCTCTGAACAGATCGGCGTTCAGTTCTTCGAATCTTGCTCTACTGATTTTGGTGTAGAAGTCGATACCGTCGAAGAGGGCATCGATCTCGATGGAAGCTTCAGTGCTAGATGAAAGTGTTCGTTTCGCCCTTTCAGCAGCGGTTCTGAGTCTTCTTAACGCCCTCGGGTTGCTTCTCAAATCTTTCTTGTATTTACGTTTGAATTCATCGGCGAAGTGGGTAACGAGTCTGTTGTCGAAGTCTTCACCACCGAGGTGAGTATCACCTGCAGTAGCTTTAACTTCGAACAACGACCCTTCGTCGATTGTCAAGATGGAAACATCGAAAGTGCCGCCGCCCAAGTCGAAGATGAGGACGTTTCTTTCACCCTTCAAGTTCTTATCAAGACCATAAGCCAGGGCCGCTGCTGTTGGTTCGTTGATGATCCTCATGACGTTCAAACCGGCGATAACACCGGCATCTTTCGTGGCTTGTCTCTGGGAGTCGTTGAAGTAGGCTGGTACTGTGATGACAGCATCCCTTATTGATGTTCCCAAATAAGCTTCTGCAGTTTCCTTCATTTTCGTCAAAACCATTGAACTGATTTCTTCCGGTGCAAACTTCTTAATTTCGCCTTTGTACTCGACTTGGATTTTCGGTTTGCCGCAATCATTGATGACTTTAAACGGCCAGTGTTTGATGTCTTGTTGGATTTTCGGATCGTCGTATTTTCTTCCAATTAATCGTTTCGCGTCGAAGATGGTGTTGCTGGGATTCATGGCAACTTGATTCTTCGCAGCGTCTCCGAGAAGACGCTCGGTGTCGGTGAAGGCAACATAACTTGGAGTAGTTCTGTTACCTTGGTCGTTGGCGATGATCTCGACTTTTCCGTGTTGCCAAACTCCGACGCAGGAGTAAGTGGTTCCCAAGTCGATACCAACTGCTGGAGATTTCACCATTTTGTCTGATTTACTTTGCTTCTATTCAAATTCACTTGTAAACACTTTGTATAAAACGCTTTGTTAAAGCTTTAGTCGCTTTGGTCGTGTTATTCGTTCGTTCGCTTGCTTTCAAATGACTGAAAGCGCGCCGCAGTTCACCGCTTATATAGGAGTGGGCAAATCTTTCTCGAAGTGTACCGAATGTTCTCGAAACTTCCACATTTATAAACGGAAACTTTAGAAAGAATTAATGGAAAATAATGATTTTTTAAACATATTTCCGTTATAATGGCATCTTTATGTTTATTTTTTCGGCTATAATAATAAACGCGGTTTATTTTTTGTGTAATAATCGTTATAATATTATTAAAATTGGTCTTTTCTACTAAATTAGTTTTCGATTCTTATTAGACCCAAAAATGAACGATCGCATTTTTATGCATACCTACTGGTATTTGAAACTTTTTTATTCCAGTTATCCTAAATAAAAAAGTGATTTAACAAATATTTGCAGTGCAAATTATTGAATTTATTGTGTTGTGTTATTGAATTTGCTTTTTTTTTTCTATTTGCTTGAGAAGATTCTATAAAGTTACTTACTTTTAAAGTCTTTTATATGTCTTCTTATTGGACAAAACGTTTTGTATGTAATTTTTTGTCGTCACATTTAAAAAGTTTTCAACACAAAAATTTCGCCTTTCACCCATAATTAAAATTGGTTTTAAAACATTATGTTTACAAAAGTAATTGATGTAAATTTACAAGTTATAATGGATGAATTTTCCATGGGACTGGAAATTTCTGGAGATTTGAAAGTCAATTTTAAATAATAAGAATCATGTTTTGTTTTATTTTTATTTACGAATGAAAGAAAAGTCTAGAACATTTATAGTCAATATCTTTTTATAAAAAAATCAAGAAAAGTGTTGAATTTTTCGAGAACGTTTGAGAATATTCGTGCCGTCGCTTCGTGTTTGTGTGATATTGATTTATGTGAAAGCAACGAAGAAATGAGAACTTTCGAGAACGTTCGGCGTTATTCGGGTCAATGTATTTTTGTATCAAATTCAAAAAATAATTATATAAAAGTAAATAAATAAATTCAACCCTATTATTACGTGAATTGAATTGAATGAATTAAATCATGGATAATAAATATTTATTTATTGAACATTTTACCTGATGGCAATTTTTCATTAATAGATCGAATTTTCTGGAAATATTTAACATTTTATACATACATACTTTAAAGATAAGACTGCTTATATTTACACTTAAGATAACTTTAAAAAATGTGTAGGTGGTTGTAATTATATAATTTAAATTAACTTCTAGAACATTCAAAATCGACAATGATGTATTTTGTCTGATTCATATGTGCGTATGTGAAAAGAAGAGGTACAAGAAGTAAATTCGCTTTTTCTCAGCGTGAAAGTAGGCGTCTGTGACTAATAATCTGTAGAAAATTCTGGAAACGAAGCAAAACACATCGACCCATGCAACGAAGACTTAACTCATTTTATATTCAACTGAGAAATAAACACTTATCCGATTTTATACTAATTATGACTATATATAAGTAGAAATATCTGGCTGTTACTCAATTTTTTTATAGTGTTATGAAAAAAAAATCTGTTTTTATAAACACTATAGTTGTAACGTTGGGTTAATTAAAAAAAATACCTTAAAACTGACGAAACTCGTTCACTAAGAAGATATTGAGATGTCACAATCAATTGAAATCTGCCATTTTTTAAGTTACAGTAGTTTTCGTCGACATAACATAATTAACTGAACAAAATGCTTCTACTTTTTTTGCCAAAGAGAAAAAACAATTTTATTAAAATTTTAGGGTTCATTGGATACCCCTGGAATGTTACACGAATTTGGACTACGCGAAACGATCAACCGCCGCCGATGTATGGGCGTTCGCTACAACCCTCTGGGAAATCTTTGTGCTTGGTGAAGAAATAAAAACCACCGATCACGTGGAAACCATGAGGGTAACTCGTACACGGCCATCCCAACTTTAAATAATTTTTCTCTAATTCTAGTGGTATGCAAGCGGCAAACGCTTACCTTGCCCCCCGATATGCGACAAGGACATCTACGAGCTCATGCTGGAATGTTGGAACGCCGATCCTCATCGACGAAAACAACCCCAAGCCATCATGCGAGATATTAATCAAATATTGTACCAAGTGTACAATTCAAGACGGACACATTCCTACGCTAAAATTTTCACAAAATCAAATTCAACTCTACAGACAGTCGCAGCTTCGTCAACTTATAGTTTAGCATCAAATACAACACAATCGACTTTTATGGTAAATTCGGAAGATTTAATTGCAGCGAGCGAAATCGAAAGCGATTCTTCTGCCCCGTCGAGCTACCGAAGCCAATCGCAAAATTGCTTTTTAAATTCACAGGAAGTTTTGAACAATGAAGATACATATTCTTGTGATTTTTCGAACATACTATCGAATTTCAATTTTTCGACAGTAACGACGTCACTCGATAGTATAAATTCGTTACAAAGTATACTTGAATTGGATCAAGATTGCAGTGTGGTTTTGCAAGGAAGAATTGGACAAGGTTTTTACGGAGAGGTTTATAAAGGAACGTTGGAATATCCCGGAAATCCAGAAATTGAGCCTAGAATAGTGGCAATAAAAAAACTGAAATCTTCAACTCTAAGTTCGTGTTTGCAAGACTTTGAAAGAGAGATTAATATAATGAAGACTTTGCAACACCGGAATATTGTTGAAATTTTGGGGGTTTCACGAGAACCAGACATTTCTCTAGTTATGGAATTTGTTCAGCACGGGTCCTTGCAGAGTTATTTGAAAATTAATCGAGAGTCGTTACAAATGAAACAGTTGCTGAAGTTTGCACTTGACATTGCAGAGGTTTGTTGTGCTTGAATAACAACTAATCAAAATTTATAAATTCAAAATTTGTCTAGGGGATGAATTATTTGGGAAAGAAAAACATCGTTCATCGAGATTTGGCTACACGAAATATTTTGGTAGCTGATGAAAATCACGTCAAGATCTCCGACTTTGGTTTGGCGCAAGTTATAGGCACTAATGACTACTACATTTTGAAAACCAGTAGAGAATTGCCTATTAAATGGTAATTTTGCGAAATTTGTTTACATAATAAAATAATTTTTGTGTTATAAGGTATGCGCCTGAAAGTTTACGTGATGGGAAATTTTCTGTCCGTTCCGACGTTTGGTCCTACGGTGTGACAATGTGTGAAATGTTCAACTGGGGCGAAGAGCCAAAATTGACAAATCTGGGAGACGATGAAGTCAGAGGTCAAGAGCAACAAGTTCTCTTGAACGCCTTGGAGAGCGGGGCCAGGTACGCGTTTGTTACTAACTTTTAGTTAGTTTATTTATCGTTGCCTTTTATAGATTTCCGTGTCCTGCATTGTGCCCACAAGCTGTCTATATCCGGATTATTTACCCATGTTGGCACGCAGACCCCCACGAACGACCGCCATTTATTGAACTTGTCCAGGAAACACAAGATTTGCTAACGCAGTATTGAAATCAGTACGGATGTGATATTTGGTGCCCATATAAGGTGGAACAACTCCATAAAAGGGTATCTTTTTGAGAAGGTAACGACATAACGGAGCACAAACAGGAAAGAGCACCACTAGTATAATCTTTTGTAATTTACCTATTTTAAGATCAATTGTTAGATTTTAGTTTAAATAAGTACCTGTTGTTTTTATTATTTGCTCAATTTCTTTATTTGGAACAAGCATTTCTTGTGCCATTTCTCAGTGCAATCAACTTGTAAATATGTATATTTTATTTTAAAATAAATTTTAATTGAAGATTAGCTATTATTAATTTTTTCTTTTTTTTTCAATTAATTTAAAATTCGACCATTTGTCTGTTTGAATAAATGACTAACTATTCTATAAAAAAAACTTTTGGTTTGGAATTGCGAAATAACAGTAATAAATATTGAATACTGGTAATAAATGTACAATTTAATAGATTTATGGTATTTTGGGCTTTTCTATTGTATCAATGACGTTTTTCATGGTAATTTTCCCGATTCGATCTAATGGGACTAAGGAGTAATGGAATTTTTTAGATTTTGAAATCGAATGACCAATGCTGTTCTTACACTGAAATCAAATTGGTTTAAAATTATCAAAATAAACTGGCGTCAACCAGCAACGAGAACTGCAACAGAATGGACATAGATCCATCTCCGAGTACTTCATCTGGTAATAAATCCTTCTTATCAATATGTTTTTAGGTTATGTCAAAATTTTTGTGTTTGACTAACACCGCCAATTGCAGGCTTCTTCATGGATCTAACATTCTCAGGATTACCTAAAATCGATGAAAACAACACCGTAGACCCCAAATCGCCCAAAGAGCGAGTTTTAGAATTGTTAGATATCTTAGAAAGTCATGTTGAGAAGTTACGAAGAGAAGCGGCACAATTAGAGGAAGACCGGGACCATTTGTTGTCATCGCTGGACTCGGTTAGAAACACTGATTTAATAGTGGATTTGCCAGATAGTAAGTGCATCAAAACTGAAATTTCATTAATAGTTTTTCTTAGATGATAGGGACGATGTTTGCCAATACGCGGAACGCATAATGAGCCGCTGTCTCACTGTCGAAGTGAAGATTTTAACTCAACGTGATAAGATGCAAGAAGAGGCCCTACACCAAGTTAACCATTTGATAGACAGTCTTGTTATGGGTCTAAAATCGGATCCTGAGAGTGCAAAAGCTAGATGTATTACCTTCATGAATGCGTGTTCTTCTAATGTAGTGCACGGCATTACAGATAAAAAATTTGAATCAGCTTTATTAGGATGTACCGTTGATGATCAAAAACGAGTAAAGAAACGTCTTCAAGGTTTGTTAAATTACTTTGATAAACTTAATGTAACTTCAATTCCATAAACTTACTTAATAGATGCATTGTTATTGATTGTACCATGGCCCCGCTTATTGCCATTATATACACATTAAATCGTTAGTATGTAATCAACTAAGTTATTTGTATTATGGCTTTAAATACAATACAGTGTTTAATTTAAAATAGCCACTGTGATTGTTTAAAAGACACTTTATTTATAAATAATGAATTAAATAAAATTATTAATTCATGTATCGTTCAATATCTTTTATTTCTGTGAAATAATTTAAGGAAAGTATTTAGGGTCTCTTAGATGAGTCACTGTAAGTGCTTTTTTCAAATCTTCGCTTGTTGTTGGTGAATCTGCCACAAAAGTGACTGTTGTAACAAGAGAATGTTGAATAAAACCATTTTCAAGGAAATGTCCTTTAATGTCGTGGGGATCCAACCACACGAAAAGGCTCGGGGCGTCGGATTTCACCCACACGTGGAACCTCAAGCCTTTTGCATCAATCATATCAATTGATATAATCTAAAACAAAACTCCTTTATCGATCAAACATACTGACTATTTCATCCAAAAAAATTACCTCAACATTAGAATTTTTAAGTTTAGCTTCCTTGAACTTTGAAGGGAAAAAGTAATTAGAAGGAGTCAAAATTGTGCCGTCTTTCCCAGCGACAATATGAACAAAACAATTGTATTTTGCTTCATCTGAAGCACCACAACCGGAATCGAATAAGAATTGATTCACATCAAATGATGCAACTAGTGTTGCAGTTAAAGGCTCCTTCAAAAGAGAATTATTTGTGAAAATACGTCAATTTTAGTCACTCACAAATTCTCCTTTAAGTTGGGTAATGTTGAGAGGATTGAACGACTCCCAGGAGTAAACCGTCAAATTAATCCATTTTTCTCCATCCACATTTCGTTTATTTAACATATGATAAATTTCCAATTTTTTGGTATCTTTATTGAAATGACCCATGACTAATTCGGACGAAAAGAAATTGAGGGCAAAATTGTGTAGCATTTTCCATCTGCCCGTATAATCAATCGAAGCCCAACTAGGGGCCACCCACACGTCGTTAAGTTGCCAGAAGAGGGCCCCCATTGTGTTACCCTGGCCTTGGTCGTCTAACCGGCCCATGAATCTTCGATAATGCTCTGTTTCGGTTTTTACAGACATTGCCTGGATAATCTAAACGCAAAATGTATCACATTATTAACTTTAAAAATCCAAACTAACTTGTGTGTAATAAATGAAAGCGTCATCATAATATTCGTTATCTTCACTCGGGAGTTCCATCTGGAATTCGATAAGATTTTTTAGTGGATCGTTACCATTAGGATGGTGTTGTCTGTGTTTCATAAAATCGCTATTAATGTTCAAATCACTTGAATTGGCAACTGTGAGCCAAGAAGTAACACTTGGTAAGGACTGGTAACCATACTCGGAACAGAATCTCGGTGTGGGGAAAATACTTTCGTCCAAACTGTCTTTGTTGTTATTATAATAATGTTCTAAAATTCGAGTTTATGAAAATTGTGGTTGATTTGAGGAAAACGCACTGTCGCCGTAAAAATTGCTTCCGGGGTCACTAGCAACGTATCCTTCCTTGTCCGTCTTGATTCCATTAGTCGGACTGGAATCGACAAAATTTGCATTTTTTGTTACTCGCCTCATTTCATCCCTAATAGTGTCGATATACAGCTTTATATAATCCGCCTTGTAAACATCGAAATTATCAGCGGTATCGAAGTAGTTTGATGCTAAATTGCCCTCGTTCTCGTTATTGCCTCCCCAAACAGCTAAGCTTGAGTGACTTTGAATTCTTTTAACTTGATGATTTACTTCCCTCTGCACGTTACTACAATAAAACTAAAATTTCAATTCATTAAAAAAAATTAATTGCCTTAAAAATTCGTAATTTGCGGGGTACATAGAAGATGCAAACACAAAATCCTGCCAAATCATCAATCCGTATTTGTCGGCCATGTCGTAAAAGTAATCGGATTCATAAACACCACCGCCCCAGACCCGCAACATATTCATTTCCGTGTATTCAGCTACAGCGGAGAGTAAACGATCAACAGTTTCCTTTTTGTAGCTGTTTTCCGGGAGAATATCAAGCGGGATCACGTTAACACCCATCGCAAAAATCGAGACATTGTTGACTTTGAAATAAAATGCAAGACCAGACTCTACAAATTTTGTATTAAAAACAAATTTTGAAGAAAAAAAATTACCGATCTCATCCTGCATTATCTCGATTTTTCTAAACCCAATTTTTTTCTGACTTGTGCTTGGCTCTTTCTTATCGGTAAAAGTCACATTCAGGGTGTAGAGAGGTTGTTTACCGTAACCATTAGGCCACCATAAATCAACCGATGTCTACAAGACCATCACACTAGAGGCAAATAACAAAAATCGAAATAATATTACTTTTGGTACTGTCATATTAGTTGTTGCGAAAACTTCCCCATGTTCGTTGGGTTCACCTAATATTAGATCACTGGACGTCTGAATTGGTTCATCATTGGTTTCCAAAGAAATGTCCAATTTTCCAGTAATCCCGATTGATTTAGGAGCAAAATACGTATCAATTGACAAAAGCCAATTGTCTCCATCATCTATTACTTCAGCTACTACATATCTAATTGTAGTTGTATAAAATGCTTCCAAGTAGATGTCTTTCCTGTAATGTTGTTAAAATATTGGAGATTTTTCTTTTATAATTTTTACCAAATGCCAACTGAGGGAAAAGCTGGTCCCCAATCCCAAGAAAACGAAGCCGGAATTTTTCTAATAAAATTAACATGACATTCACCTTTGTAGGAATCAGGAACACATTCTGGAGGCACTACGTAATCTTCGGCCTGTTTTTTAGCCAATTGTTCACTGATCGTAATCGGGGAATCAAATTTGAAAGTGATGGTGTTATCACCAGCCTGTAATTCACAATTAAAATGGTAACAAGTATAGGGATTTTCTTAACCTTGATACTCTCCGTGATATCAAATATGTAGCGCACGAACATATTTTCGGTGGTACCTATTTTAACATCATTAATAAAAATTGTAGCAAACGTGTCAACACCTTCAAGAACTAAATTGACAAAATCACGTTTAGTTAATTCTTCTTGCACTTGAAACGTAGTGTAATAAGTCCAGTTATACCTAGCAACCCATTTGTACTCAACATCATTAAAACCGGCATAAATATTATCCAAAATGTTATTTGATGGACTCATTAAATCTGTGTAAATTCCACCCGGAACTGTTGCCGCCAAATTTGTATACTCTGTAAAATTTTCCCTTAAACTGTTGTTTCATACAAGAAATTATTCTTACCTCCAGTCTCATCCTTGAATAACCATTCGCCCCCAAGATCCTGTTTAATTTCACAATTTCCCCCATAAAGAAAAATCAACATAAAGACAAGCTGAAATTCCATGTTCAAAGACCTAGTTGCTAACTGTTTTTACCATATTGAGAACATAAACAAAAACCAGTTATCAAAGATTGAATTGATAATACTGTTCAAGATCTCTATTTCTAGGATAGCAACATGTGAAAATCGGTTTTAAAATACAAATAAACAAAAATTATCAAAGACGTGTTTATTGATATTGATGGTTGTTCAAGTGGGTTACAGTGATTACATTTTCTAAGGTAGCAACAGACGTTATTGTCTCGCTTTGGAACGTAACAGCCTTCTCTGGAACCACTTGTGCAAAACCGTTCTCACTGAACTGACCCCGGACTTGGTGCGAGTCCAACCAAACGAAAAGACTGATACCATCAGCAGTCACTGTGACCTCAAATTTGGTACCCTTATCGTCTATTTGAATCACTGAAGTAATGCTAACTCGGGTCGTTTGAAGATTTGAGTGTTTCAAAGGCGATACTAAAATCAGATTGTGGGGTGCTATAACAGAATTTCCGGAAATGAGGGAGAGATAAAAGAAACAATTGTTTCTTGCGGTTGGAAGTGAGCCACATCCTATACTATTAAGGTAATTATCAGTGTCAACTACGGCGACTTGGAGTGATTTTCCATATTCCTGCATCAGAAAATAAGAAATAGGATTTTTCTTGGTGAAAGGACTAACCAAAGACACGTCCACTACTGTGGATTTGATTGGTGAAAAAGAAGTCCAATTGTACACATCAATCACGGCAGAAACATTCAATCTGGAATCGAATATAGACGCAATTTCAGTCATCCCATAAATGTGAAGCTGTCTTGCTACATCCAAATATGCAGTTATTATAGTTGGGGCAAAAAATTCTTTTGCGAAGTATTGCAACATTTTCCACTTTCCTGTATAGTCTACCAAAACAAAAAAATTAACTTGTGATCATTTTGATTGAACAAGTACCAATTCCAGCCCACGTGGGTGCGACCCACACATCATTCAATTGCCAGAAAAGAGCACCCATGGTGTTACCATGACCCGAGCTGTCGAGACGTCCCATGAAACTGCGATAATACTCAGTCTCGAATTTTATAGACATTGCTTGGATAATCTGTGAGTAGTACATGTAAGTTTTGTAAAAACTTTCCGTTGTATTGTTGAAATTCAATTGATACATCATTAAGAGATTATTTTCAATTAATCCAAAAGGGTGGTGTTGTCGATGGTCCATAAACGAACTATTTGGATATAAATCTTTAATATTGTCAGTGACTGTTAACCAAGTATCGAAATCTGGGAGTGACTGGTAACCGTATTCTGACGCAAATCTTGGTATTGGATAAGTTCTTGCATCCAGACTGTTGACTAGATAGTTGTAGTAGTGGACTGGAACTTCCAACTTTGGAAAAAATCTATTGTTTTTGGAGGAATGCCCTCACCATCTCCAAAAAGAGAGTTTCCTGGATCGTTCGATAAATAATTTTCTTGGACAGTTTTCTTCCCATTACTCGGACTAGACGAAACAAATGTCACATCAGTCGTGAAATTGAACAATTCCGAGCGTATCGTATCGATGTACAACTTGATATAATCGTCTTTATACAACTCTAAGTTACTGGAAGTGCCGTACCAATTAGTCATTAATGCAAGTTCATTTTCATTGTTAGCAGCCCAAAGTGCAATGCTTGGGTGGCTTTTTAATCGCCTGACCTGATGCCGAACTTCTGCTTTAACATTGCTAAAAACACTTTTTCAAGAATGTCACAAAAAAACGCAACATTACTTTAAATATTCCGGGTAAGTGGGATACATAGCACAAGCAAACATGAAGTCCTGCCAAATCAAAATCCCTAATTCGTCCGTCTTTTGGTAGAAGTAATCTGATTCGTAAACGCCACCTCCCCAAACCCGCAACATGTTCATGTGGGCAGAGTAGGCACTCTCCAAAATTCGGTCAACCGTTTGGAGGTTTTGGCCCTTTTCGGGGAGAATGTCAAGAGGGATTTCGTTGGCGCCTTTGGCAAATATTGGCAAACCATTAACTTTGAAGTAAAAACTCAAACCAGAGCCTGCAAAAAATTTGCGGGGGGTTGTAGACCCACCAATTGCTTCTTGGACCAATTCAATTGTCCTGAAGCCTATTTTAACAGTTTTGGAATCAATTTCAGCACCACTCTGCCATCTGGCTGTAAAGTTGTACAGTTTTTGTTCGCCATAGCCATTCGGCCACCACCTTCGCACCGTTATCTGAATTTTTGAAAAGTAACAAAAATACAACCCTTCACGCACCTACTTTTGGAATCGTGAAAGAATAATCGACTTTTAGTTCATCATCTTCGTTGGTGTTAGTCTGATTAACGTCCACAATTTGTTGAATAAGACTGACATCGGTTTCAAGATTGTATAAAAGTTTCCCTTGGACTGTTTCGCCAGTTTTAGTGCTGAGATAAGTCGAAACTGTAATCAACCAAGAATCGTTTGGAGCGTCTTTGTGATCAACCATCAGATAACGAATGACCGAAGAGTTGTATGCTTGTAAATACACCTCTTTCCTTTAAAAAATCGGAAAATATTTCGCATGGTCACATTTTGGAGTCTACCAAATGCCCATTGAGGGTAACGCAGGTCCCCAATCCCACGAAAATGATGCTTGCATTTTTCTTATTTGATTTACGTGACACTCTCCTCTGTAGTTATCTGGAGGGCAAGTTGGGGGCACTGTATAGCCTTGTTTTTTAATTAAACTTTGAGCTGTTTTAATCGGAGATAAAAAATTTACTTCAATTGTATTATTTCCTAGCTAAAATTCCTCTCAATATTTTTAAGTCGTTTTGCGGGATTTAAATACCTGTAATTTATTTTTAATGTCGAAAATGTAACGTACGAACATATTTTCACTTGAACCGACTTCAACATTGTTAATTAACACAGTTGCAAAAGTATCTAAACCTTCAAAGACCAGATTTATATGGTTATGACTTAGAAAAGAATCGTCCACTAAAATATGGAATAATAATACTTGGTATTGGAGAGATTTCAGTGGGACTAACCTAGGAATTGACTTTTGTAAATCCAATCGCTCTGAGCTACCCATCTAGTTTCAGTATCATTACTTCCATAAAATACATCACCTATAATTTTATTATTCATCAAATCTGTGTAAATGCCTCCTGGAACGGTAGCTTTCAAATTGTCGTATTCTAAAAAATGCGACGTTTAATTTAATTGTGTCCGAATTAAGAAATAATGAAATACTTCCTGCGGCATCTCTTACAATCCATTCTCCACCCAAACTGCGTCTTTTTAGACAATAACTAACCGTAAAAAATTCCAAAAGGAGAAGAAGAGTGCGAATAGTCGCCATTATCAATGATGACTGGTTTAATAATTTATACTTGACTCAGTTTAATCTTGTTTTCATGTGATAAAAACGTTCATGTTCTGTGATAATAATTGTCCACAAATAGGAACTGGACATCAAAATAAACACCTAAAGACTAATACTTTGACTCAATTACAGGAATTATACAAATTTAAATTTAATGTCATTTTTGCGTTTTTAAATTATAATTAATAAGTATTTTGATTTATTTGTAAAAATATACCTAATAGTAGATTATGTTATTAGGAGTAAAAGTTCATTTTGCCGAACGGAGTGAGGCAAATGGATTCAGCTGAGCCACATAAACTCACTTTTACTCCAAATAACATATACTATTTTATCTGCAAACGATTCAGATGGAACGAAAAGAGCAACACACCAATAATCAAGTAAATCACCTCAATAATCAGGACGCTTTGCAATAAAATCATAACAAACGTCACGCGTGAGTTTCGGAATTTGTGTTGAGATTTCGAAATTGATTGATTTAACTGCTGAATAACTGGTGTAGTTTATAGTACAAAATGTCGAATGCTGATAATCTACCTTGTACCTCTCCAGAAAATGCTGAAAAAGCGAAAGAGATAAGAAAGAGACAACAGTGATAAATGTCAAAGTAAGTGTCAAGTAAAAGTAAAAACGCCTAGGCGTAAAAACAGTGTTTTTACTCCATGTCTGAAAAGTAAAACTTTTACCTGTGTCATTTAGTCATAAAAGTGGTCACTTTTGTGACGTTTGCAGATAAATTATTAATTATACCTATTATCACTTTTCATGCTCGAGTAGAGATTTAGCGTTTGATACGATGTAAATAAATACATCAACAAATCAACATCGTTGTTTTACTACAGACTAGTTGAAAAATACATAATGCATTTATAAAATATGAATTGCAGATATGATTTGGTTTTTAGTTAATAAACAAGCGTATCTTTTCGGGTAAAAACAATATTTTGTTATTTTGAAGCTAATTGAAGTATCACCCACAGAGTGTGTCAGAACTCGCGCCCCAGAGGAAAATTTTAAGTAAGATAAAATGTTTAAAAAATTCTGTCAAAAAAATTTGATATTTATTTTTAGATATTTGACATTTTTATGTCTATTTAATGATACTGATGATCTTGTAAATACACTGGCGGACACGGAATTTTGGACGATTTGTCATTCGACTGACATTAATATGTAAAACGGGTCTTAGGCAAATAACCTCATTTTCGGTTTTTGTAATTTTTACCCTGATAGCTAGAGAAAAAATGACAACAAATCAAAATAATTTATTGAACTTATATAAAAAGTAAAAACACGTATTGCTGGAATTGTTGTTCCGGAAAATCGACACCGAACATAAATTTCAAATAAAACTTACAAATTTTAGTTCCAAACGTTAATCATAATGACAATAAAGCGTGGCTTGCATTGCCATTTTTTGAACTGATGAATTTGATATCCAAAATTCCGAGTCCGCCATATGTTTTTTTTATAATGATTTAGTAAACATACAAAAGTTTCACCAATAAAAGCCACAAATAACATTAAACAGAGGTACAATTTAGGATACAGCTTCCTTGTTTCCTTTTCTAATATCCTGTAGCAAAAAAACTTAAAAAATTATTTTTCCAACAGAAATAAATAGAAATAACTTCGAAATTTTTATAGATAAAATTTTTTTAACATTTTTTCCATGTTTTTGATGGTATTTTATCTTACATTGCATTTTTCTATGGGGCGCGAGTTCTGGCGCATCCTGTATACATATATTTTGGAGACCACAGATAGTAAACTGTATGTTACTGAAACTACCTATATAAAATCATATTCAGCTTATGTATTAGTGTTATATGTAGTAGTACAGGTGATTGGATGGTACATTTTCTGCCAAGTGTGCATCAAATAAATCCACTATGGAAACAACTAGCCCGTAAGACGCATTAAAATGTTTATGTACGCAATATTATACATCAACATTTAAATCATTACGTAAATAATAATCTGCTTGCTGGTATTAACAAAGTAAGTTAATTAATGAAACGATTTTTCTTGCAGTTATTAATGAGTCAATAATCCAATTTGCTATAACAGGCTTTTGCTAGTATTTCGTGTTATTATTGAATAAAATGGTAATTAAGTAACAAAATAATTTTTACCGATGTTCTGGCATGAGTTAATATCAACTGCTTGAACAAACAATGATCAACCTAATTTTATGTACGAGTATTTGTAGCTAAAATCATTTTTCCGGTTTTGTTATTACGGAGTAAAAACAAATAAACAATCAGAATAAAAGGTATAGTCATTGAGTGTAATTTTTTTTCAACAAAAACATAAAGAAGCAAAAAATTTGAAATATTGGTTTCAAATTATTTCAAAAGAAAAAACACTCCTGTGCAAGACATCTCCTTTATTAACTTAATATTTTAAACAAATATTCCAATTCCAGTTCGGTGTCCTCCTTTAAATCCGTGCAATGTACGGCATTCCGATACTTATCAAGCCCAAACCTCGCCCTCAACGTATTCGGTCTAATCTGCCTTGCAACTTCCGGATCATTGGGGCCGCAAAACTTCCGGAACTCCCCGTGAACATCCCCAACATCGTCACTCTTCCCAGAAATCTCCAACCCAATACACGGGCCGTCCAAAAAACTCGTCAACAAGGCGTGAAAATCACTCACAACCCCCTTATACACCTCCAAAAATTCCTCAGCGTTGGCATTACTGAAATAGAACGTTTGCATCGCCGTGATTTTGAACTTGGCATCCGTTATAAAGCTGATAATGTACCCCAACTTCCCCTCACTGATGGCGTGCGGCTTAATGACGCAACAAGTGCTGTTTTTGAGCTGGAGGGTGGTTTGAGGGGGGTGTTGTCCCGGATCGGTGGGAAAGAACAATTTGAGTTTTTTAGTAACGGCGTCGCAATTGTCGGCGGCGTGAAAAGCGTTGGAGGCCTTCTCGAGGCCGTAGATGGCCCGGAGGCTGTTGGGGGCGGTTTGCCTGGCCTCGAGGGGGTCAGTGGGCCCCACGTTCTCTTTCCAGCGCTCGATGGCGTTGTCGCCGACCAATTGAAGGGCCACGACGGGGCCAGATGTCATGTGGTCGACCACGAAGGGCAAGAAAGCTGAGCCTCGGAGATGGTCGTAAAGCTCCAAGCATTCGGCTTGTTTCAAATGGCACATTCTTACGTTGACAATTTCGAAATGCCGGTCTTGGATTTGGTTGAAAATCTCGCCGATTTTGTCAATAACACTGACTTTGATTACACCAAAAGTATGCTGGCGGGTGTTGCCGATGATTTTTTTGGTGTGGCAATCGGCATAATCGATGATTTTTAATTGCCGGTCGTAGATTCGGACCTTGTTGCCCACGAAAACGTCTTTCCGACTGATGGACTCGTAGAAGGAGCGTTTGAGGAACAGGCGTTTGAGGTCGATGTCGTAGAGTTCGACCGTATTATCGACAGGATAGTAATTGAGGAGGAGTCGTTTCTGGTAGGCCGAATCGAAGTCGAACCATTCGGCTATGAACGATAATTTATCACCGTAATCGGTGCCGAACGATGATGACATTGTCGGATTTACTGGAATGTGAAAAGCATATGACAGTCACGTCAAATAAAATACTAAACACAAGTTTGCATTATTTAAAATTTATCGAAGAAAAGCTGTAATTTCAAACTTCCCTCTTTTCATAATAATTTATTTATTGGCAAAAAAATATTTCACTTTCAATAAACTGTGAAGTTATCTACTATTTTATTCCGGCTTGAAGCCGATGTAATCTGCTTATGTGTACCCTACTAACATTTTAGAAATAACGATTTATGAAACTTTAGCTACAGTTTTAAATCCAAGAGTTACAATCCTTTCTGAAAATAAATTTTATAAATGCGTCATGTAACGTGAGATTTATATACAAATAAGCTATAATTACTGTATAAATAAAAGTGTTTACCAGGAAATACCAGAAAACTATCTTTAAATTAATTTGAATTCGATGTCTGCTGAAAATGTTCATTTATTTCGTTTTTTGAAAATGAAACTATGAAGGAAAGTCTTGTCAATATTTATAGAATTAAGTGGAAATTTATATTCTGACACAGACCTTCCATTGACCTTAAATTTATGTGGGAGAGTCCAGTATCAAAAACAATCAAAGGAATTTCTCTTTCACTCGCGTCAAAAGAATACTATTATAGCATCTATTTCATCAAATGATATTTCATATGGATTGTTTTATTTAGGCACAAAATTGTTAACTCTAATTCCTGTAAACAAGAATAAATAAAAAGTAACATTTTTGAAGAAATTGTTTTAAAGGTTTACTATTAAAAAAGCAAATATTTCAAGGCATGTCAACCTGTTTTTAAGTTTGTACTATATAAGTCTTAAAAAACAAGGCAAAATCCTTAAAAAAGTGCTGTGTACTAAAGCGGCCTTACTTGCAGGTTATCAAAACTAATCAAATTGAAAATTAACGTTCATTTTCACTAAAACTACATTTTATTCTAATTTTCTCATTGATAATTTCTGTATTAAAAGCATCTCTTTTTCTAAAATTACTAAAAATTTTTGAATCATACGGCATAAAATATTTAGCTTGTAAGCTAAAAATAAACAAAGCAATTATATTTGCAGCCATATGAATGCATCTATCTAATATGAACTTCTATTTATGTATTTAATTCCGTATAACTGGACGAAAATAAAACTTTTTGACCCACTGCTAAGTAAAATACCAATAGGAAATTTTTCAGGAAGTTTCTTAACGTGAAAATGTTAAAAAGCTCGTAACTGCAAATTCAAAACAGCTTTTTGCCCATTTCAATTAGACTTGTTTGATTAAATGAGAATTTTATTTCAGTTTGTCTAACATAAGTAAAGAATTTTTCGGCATGCCAAGAAACATACTACGAAAAGAATTAGTCATGACCATAACATAAAAAGGAAATTTTCTGTAATTCCTTTGAAATGTTCATATACTGCACTTTATTATTACGAACAGGGAAAATACTAAGAAAAATTTAGATTATTTATTTTCATTGTCTACTATATTATTAAACTTGATAAAACGTTAGTAGGAGTTAGCCGTGTGTTCCTGAATTCATATTAAACTTAAATCTCATAAAGAAGAAACAAAAAATGCAATTTTGGAGTCATTAATCAATTATAAATGAAGTTCAATAGTACAAAAACATAATAAAAAATTGGCATCAGTATATGCCCACATATTTTAAAAAATAAAAAAAAATTATTATTATTTAACAAAACTGATACTATAAATTTTGGTTTTTATATCTCGTATCATATTTAGCATTTTAAGCTTTTAATAACGTACCAGAGCAAAAATTAATGATAATTATTCCGTGTTCAATTTAATAACAGCAAATATAATTTTGAAATATACTATTATAAACTATGCCTGATACACGTTTCTACGTTTCTTAAAATTCAAACAATGATTCGACATTTTCACTACCCTAAAAAATTGTTCGTATAAAAGTTTACTGAATGGCAAATTATTAATAAACTTTAAGACAAAATGTAGCTACCTGAAACAACGTCGTTGTTAATACAAATTCTGTTCACATACAACAGTGATTAAGTCAGTATTAAAATAGGAAAACCCAATAGAATCGAATAGATTAAAAGATGCCTTAGAGGGATGCAAATGCTTATGAAAAGCATATGAACAAAAGCCTTAACAAGGGTATTTCAAGAAGAAGTGAAGTTAATGTTAAAAGGGTAGCAGAAGCAGTGCTGCAATTAAAGGGGTAAATCGACGTTTAGGGATTAGTGGATTAAAAAAACACCACTTACTTAACATGAATATTTAAGAAAAAAAAATTAAAAATCCAAGATTAAAAATAAAACCCTCATTAAGTTGGCCAACGTAGTTGGTAATTTGAGGCCAGACAGACACATTTTTGGTAAACAACAATCAAGTACAATAATTAGATAAAATTCGGGAAATTTCAAAGATCACATCCACATATGGTCCCCGTCACGCTCGCCGGTTATTAACATGTTTTCCGTTAATGATTGAAAGGATTTCGATTAGCTCCGATTTATAAACCAAACAAAATTCCCTCTGTTCGATAATTACACTATCAGAGACAAACAACACGAAAAAGCGCTAATTTTTCCGTTAAATAGTACGCACTCGGGGGAATACCCGATTCATCAGTGGCGCACTAACCTGAAGCCGCCCCCGAAACGTGAGTGGCAGCGTAAAGTGGCTGCGCCCGCCGCGTCCACAGGTGCTATATAACGTAGGCCACCAGCTATACGAAGTCGTCTTCGTGTTGTGCTTTTGCAACTGACTCCAGCCTCCGGAACCTGGATTTACCATCTGTACCGGTAAGTGATTCGGATTTGCTCCCTTGCGGTCCCTGAAAGCAAAACCCATTTACACCCAAATTGCTGAAAAAGTTACTTAAAAAAAGATTCGATAAAGTTTATTTCATTTTATATATCAAAAATAATACGGAACTTTGTAGCCAAAAAATCTAATTAGTAATTTAATTTTGACCGAGATTGTACAATACAATTTTTTCATTTTTTCGATACAGTGATTTTACAGCAAATTAAATGCGAAACCATCTTTCCACTTTTTAAAATAACGTTAAGTTTAAAATAATTAAAACAATTCATTTTTTAGTATTCGATTTCTTGTTCCATGTTAGTTTTCGAATTCAACACGTTATAAAGAACTTTCCGATTCTCATTTCTCTTGCACTCCTTTGCGTCAAACTAGCCTTGTTGTAAATTAAATAAATTCTCGTTTTATCAAGTAAATACAACAGGTAAAAAATATACTTTATGTGTAAATATTTTATTATGGTGGTAATGAAAGGAGTTATTAAATTATTTCAAATTATCTTCTTCCTCATATATTTTTTAAATAAATATTTAATTAGCAACGCTTGAAATTATTCCCAAAACGCGCACTACATTGATCTCGTGTTCAAACAAACTTTCCGCTTTAGGACCTGTTAACGAAAATATATTTTTACCCAAGCCATTGCAAAAGAAGTATTTTCAGACATGGAAACAATATTGCCTGATTAACGGTACTAGATGGTTTATAGCCAACTGTAAATTGTATAATAATAAACTGTAATATTAGTGTTTATATTAATTTATACAAATTTAATAACAATGTTTGGTGTTCAGGTACCAATTCCGGTTTATCCGGAAATAAACAGCTTCTGTTGACATCTATATGTGCGGTGAATTTCATACAAGTAAAACCAAAAACCATTTAGTCAATTCCATTATCCTAAATTTTATTTAATAAATATAATACCATTATTAAAAAAAGACAAATATGGGATACAAAAAGTCTTTAAGACTTTTACGGCAAAGTTCGCAGTTCTAAAACTAATACCAAAATGAAATTACGTCTTGTATCCCTAGACGTTTATGAGAAAAAGTCAAAATTTCGATGTTTAGATAAAAGTAAATGATAGTGTCGCTAAAAATTAATAAAATTACAAAGAAAATATCCAACTATTGAAAATGGTGGATGCGCCGGGCTATTAAAATTCTCTCAAATTCTTAACTCAATGTACATAATTTTGCATAAATAAATTACGTAATCAAATTGTCAAAACATAAAAAACTTAAAAACAATGTAAGCCTTTTTATGCCCATCCCAATGATTCTCTCTTCATTATCGCAACAGTTAATTACAAAGGAAGCAACATTTATCCAAAAACTTAATAAAAGACCGCTTAATTATCATTTGAAAGCACATGTAAATTGTGCGTAATTTTGGTAATTGCGTCTTTTCTGTTATGTTAAATTTATTGTTAAGGCGAATCGTGGGTCGATCTATCATTTTCACACCGTTGAGTCCATATGCAATCATCTTATAAATATAATACATACAATGAATCAGATCGAACAATTCACCAGAGACCCACGTATGCTTATAATATTCGAAATTTTAATGGACCAATGCACACGTATTAGATGGGTCGGGTTTAAGGTCGCTCAGGAAAGAATCATTAAAGCAGGGATTAATTTTGTCGTTGAAAAAAGCTCGACCATAATTATGTAATGGTGCTGATATTAATTAATATTAACAGTAAATTATTCCATCATTTATTACCTTAGCAAAATTTAATTATTTTTGTAACTGAATAAAATTTGTAAAAGCGGCAATTGAAATTGTAATAAATGGGCATAATTATATAGATAAAGCGGAAAATAATATTCATAATTGATTATATCAAAATGTAATTCAACAATACAATATATTAACTAATAATACCACCTCCACATTTATTTCTGCGATATGTAGAACATTTATTACTATTGTCAAGTTAAGGGACATCATAAAGCATCAAATGGTACCACATAAAAATGTGATTTGAAAATGTTTTATGCACTCATAAACACAGACCTCCCAGCGATGAAGTTAATCTCAAAATTTTTTATTTCATTTAGATTACTGACTTTAAAGCAGTCCACCTCAAACTATAAACTAATCATTTAAATTACAAATTATTACAAATTGGTACAGGTGAAAATATAATTGACAAGATCACTTGGTCGTAAACAATTCTTTTTTTTTGACTATACTCGTAATAATAAAAAGTTGAGTTTTCGGATGCTCTTAATGATGTATGTGGGACGACTCATTCATTTTTACATTTCTTCCGGTTACACACAATAGCTTTACGGCGATTTTTTCCACAGAACAAATTGTACAAAGATCCCTTCTCCTTAAGAAACTTATTTTTCGTAAAATTTTATAAAATAATTTAGTTATTGATACAAAACACATTATTTTTGCAAAAACCTAATCATTAACATGTAATGTTTGAAGTAAATACATTTTATGGAAATGTAATCCATTTCCACCTCCTCCTAAGTTAAAAATGCGTAGAGGTACACCTTTTTGATGTAGATTGAATCCTGATGAAAAAAGACGACTGGTCCTTTTTCGAGTTCAATAACCAAAGATTGATCTTCATTCGTTTAAAATTGCCAAAATTAATTAAAATAGGTTTAACTGTTCCGTATTGAATGGGTATTTATTCCTTCTTTTCAAGGTAAATAGCTTTACATTTTTTATAGCCATTTTAATTCTAGTCTTGCATCTACATAATAAACCTTTCAATTTAGTATCGGTTTCGGATTAGTTAACTCAATACGTTTCTTTTTTAAATTAAGAAACATACTTGAAAACCGATTCGAACTCAACTTGTTGCTGGAAAGCAGCGTCATGGCATGTAAACAGTTAAAAGGTTTCCAATTTCGCAACTAAAACTAACTTTTATTTAAATATTTTTTATCCGGTCGGAGACAAATCCGTCAACGGTGTTAAGAATCCTTTGAAGGATTTGTGCGGCTTTCATCGTAAAATCATAAAAACTTACAAAGCTCTCAAGCCTTAAAATAAATCTTCCGTATGTGCGTTCAAGTTGCCTTATCGATGACTAAGAAAAAGCATTCAGTTTGGAAATACAATACATTCAAATTTATTTTTTGTGATTCTGATTCGAGAAATAAAAGGATTTTAAATTAAAAATTCGGTTTCTATATATTTGACGTTGAAAACTGAATTGACCAGATAAATATTGAGATCAATATAAATGTAAATACCTTAGTCTTTGTAGCTTTATTTCAATATTTTCCGAATATCGATAGAATACGCCCCCGACAAATTTGTTATTTACTTGATATAAAAAAAGTAAAAATACGTTTCTTTAGTAACATTAATAACTGTTTAACACAAATATAATATTACCAGCTCAAATATTTAATATTCTAAAAAAAATTGTTATTTTTAACCAAAAGAGACAACCGCAAGTAAGGCATAAATAATAAATTATTTGTTATTACTGAACTTTAGAACTTATAATCTGACATACAACATTTTTCATCCTCATTTGTTTCACGAAACCACCAAAAAAGTTTCTTAGCACATTTGTCTTATAAGTTCACAACGGTAAAAGTCAAGATCTGCTTATTAAAAGGTTAAAAACTTTATTAAAATAAATTCGCCTAATTAACTAGTACTGGAATGGAAATTCATGTTCCATTAGTTTAAGGAGTATTTTATAACACGCTTTTAACTAACATTTTAGTCTAAGGTTAAAGTATCTATTCGGATTATGTTGCTAAAAACTTAGATAAAGTTATGCAATTTCTGGTTAATACTAAACTGAAATAAGATACATAAATAGTGGTTAAGAAAGGTAAAACAACAAAACCTCCAGATTTTAATAAAAAGTATCCTTGCAAAAAAAATAACTAAATAATAGTCACATTACGACACGCTTGGCCGTTTATTTCGGCATTTTGTAATTTGGATTAAATAACAAGCTGTCTTGAGGGTAAGAAAATATCATATTCGGTCCACTTTAGCTAAATTATAATTTGTAAATGCGGACTAAGCACATAAGCTAGAAATTGTAAAATAAAAGTCTGATCGAACGGTAAATTATATTTCCTAAAGCCAATCGTTGTCTTTTTATTTTAAGACAAACTACATTCCCGGAGAATAGAATAATTTAAGAAAATATATTTTTTAACCTAAAAAGATAACTTCCATTTTCAATTTGTTAAACAAACAAATTTTATGTTTGTATTTACAAAACCCAACTAAATAAAAACGTCGTGTAACAAACAGAAAATACGAGAATTAGTTGCAAAGTTTGAAGTCAACGCTGCACAAATCAGTATAATTTATTTTAATTTGAAAAACTAAAAATAAGAATTTGTGATAACGCGAGTATATCAAACATTAAGAGAAATAAAACAAGATAAAATTGAAATCAAAATATTTTTCACTTTGAAACTTCTTCATGTTTCTTTCATAATGAAACTATATTTAATTATTTTTATAATTATCCACATTTTTTTCATGAAACTAAGCAAAACAGTTTTTTTTTTCTATTAGCCGAAGTCCCACCTGATTTAATTGACCAATCAAGGCAAAAGCAAAAATAAAAATTGAAAATTTAGTTCCTTAATCGAAGTTTAGGATTGGTAAACTCAACAGAGTAGGATAACTATTAGAATCTGCTTAACCCGCAGACTAGGGTGTGATTAAAATATTACATACTCGTAGGTTGGAACCCGAAGACGTATTCAGCATTAATTATGTCCCTGGGAATAAATCAAGATTGTTGTACAAACTAGTAAGATTAATAAACATATCAACTTCAGTAATTCGATTAACTAATTAAAAATATAAAATTTTGCGTTTGTGACAAATTGACAAGAACGAAGTTGTTTTAGCTGTGAGAGTGTTGCTTGTAATAATGTTTATCAGCTGAAACAATAATTTCCATTGTTCGTGTTTAATTTATTGTGATTATTGATTGAGAATGTAAGAGCAACATCAAATGCCATGGAAAAATAACAAGAGATTTTT